ATGTCGTTCAGTCGTGATTCAGTATTTGTTTAATTGCAACGGAATTTATTATAAATAATAATTATTAACTAATTAATTAATCATCAATTAAATAAATTAGTAATTTAATAGTTAAACTGATTAACTCATTAATCAGTCATCTTCTATTGATACGTAACAGGCTATTAAAAATGCAATGAGTAGGTGTGGTTGATGATATCCTTTAAATGTTCTTATAATGATGATGATGACGACGATGATGATGGTGGTAATGACGAAAATGATGAGGATTATGATGATGATAATGGCGACGATGACGATGATGATGATGATGATGATGATGGTGACGATGATGATGACGATGACGACGATAATGATCATTATGATGACGATAATGATGATGAGGAGGATGGTGACGACGACGATGATGATGGCTATGATTGGCTACTCTTCTCATTGTTATACAAATTGCTATTGAAATGAAACATTAAAATGCCACCGCGCTATTTTTAGTATACATACACTGGCAACAAACAATCAAAACTTGTTTGTCTGGTTCTATTTTGGTCATTTGAATGAATCTTTGATACATTTTCTTACATCATCTCAAACAATGTCCTCACACACACTACACACACTACACACACACAGGCACACACACATATATATAAAGAGAGTAAGAGAGATACAGAGAGAGGAGAAGAGAGAGAGAGAAAAAAAAAGAAGAGAAGAGAGAGACTGATACATAGACACACACAAACAGACGGACACACACACACACAGGCATACACACACACATATACATATACAAAGAGAGTGAGAGAGAGAGAAACAGAGAGAGGAGAAGAGAGAGAGAGAGAAGAGAAAGAGAGACTGATACATAGACACACACAGAGACAGACAGACACACAAACAAAATTAATGTTATTACTGTCACCAAGTGCGATCCTATACATCGTATGACAGATGCGAAAGAATGAAAACACTAACTTAAACCATTTTGCTAGTAATGTTACATTTGAATTATATTCAAAAGTTAATGAAAATTGTTTTATATAAAGAATAAACAACTTAAAAATATTTAAACTTTATCATTATTATAAAAGAATAAAGCACTATATAACATTAAACGAAATTTACAGACGATAATAATGGAATATATTTTCATGAAACAAACGTGTGAACTGAGCGATTGATCGATGGACGAATCAATGAAATAGAAATAAAAGAATTAATTATAAATTTACAACGGAATGAAACGAAGAAATTGATTATAAATTTTAAATAAAATTGTGAATAAATTTAGTTCGTGAAATAATTAAAGTAGGAAGGAGTTCACTCAGTTTAACACGCAGTTAGGTTTGTTACCGCAGACCATTTCGTTGTATAGGTCGATAACAACTAACCAGTCTAAATGCGAAAATTTTGAATAATTTTTTTTTTCAATAAAATTTTGTAAATTAATTTTAAAATAATTTTATTTAATATTATTATTGTTATTATATTCGGTAACACGTTACACAAAAACATGTCTAGTCTTTTTGTGCAGTTCAGTCGGAACATTCAAAACGCAAAATTTAAGAAAATCCACCAAGTGGCAGTTCATAAAGAGTGTCAAGCTTTTTTCACCCAGGCCTTTATTTCCCTCTTGGACTTGGACAGTCTTTAACCCTAAGTTATCTACATTATTACACACTTTCTTTTTTGTGATTTTCTTTATAAATATTATAAACCAGTATTTCAAAAAATTTTTGTAAAATTCTACTGTTAAAAAAACCTGCAACAACTCCAAAAATGTGTTTCTATAAAATTTCATCTTAACCTTAACAAAATTACACCAAAACCCAAAGCCCATTCCTGTTTAAGCACAGTTATAGAAATGATATTTTTCACAAAAATGTGAATTTGAATACATCTAGGCATGTTGTTTAGTTGGTCGCGTTTATTTGGTTATATGAATTTTCTATAACGAAAAATTACAAAAATTGTAATTGTTCTTCATTGAGCGAGGCTGTAACATTCACAACACACAACAAACACATTTTTTACAGGCAAGCGCAAACACTGCAGCATACACACATGACCTATGTGGTTTGAGTTTTGGGAAGCGTGCATTCGAACCAGGTTTTCGCGCAATGACAGCGTAAGAAGTGGCGCTCCTATTGACTACCAAACGCACGTACACACGCACGCACGCATTCACACACACGAATAAAAACGTACGCTTATACACAAGCGAATTTTATTGATGTGTATGTATGTGTATGTATGTGTATGTAGTTAATTAGATAACTAGAGCACCCACCACACTGCATGCCTCCCACCTAGCGACAGGAAGCAAGGACAACAATGAATATCATGAAATACACGTTTGTGTATTAACTTCGGTGCAATGCAGTTTGTTGGGCGACTGTTTTGTTATAAGGAAGTCATCGATTAATATTTAGGTTAGACTTCTGCTAGTACGAATGGATTGTTTGAAATTTAACCATATTCAGTTTAATTGTATGTATATATTTAAATGTTGTTGTATTATGCCATTTAAATGACAAATTCAAAACCCGATTGAATTAGCTCAGATGGTAGAAGTGTCATATCTTGCAGTTCTGTTGCACCGTGACCTGGTTCGTTCGCATAAACCTCAAAGTGCTTGTGTGTGTGTGTGTGTGAAGATGAAGTAGATATAGATAGTACATTCGTAGAAAAAAGTTACATAGAACCTTATTCACATAATAGGTAAGTAATTTCATGAATAACGTGTACGTGAAGCTCTGAAAAACTTTTTCAACATTCAAACAGCAAAGCGTGATCAAATTATAACTCCTTAAAAATTAATAAAAACACTTTATAAGAAGTAACAGCAAAAATTACAAAATAGACATTTAAAAACATTAAAGCTAAAAATGACACAAATACAGGCGTATCATTCATAATTAGAAGTAAATAAAATAACTTGGGATGAACATTTAAGTTAGTAGTTGGTAGTTGTTGAGAAACCCAGCACGTGATCACCGGGCAGACAAAGGAATGCATGTTCAATTCGTCTGGATCAACGCGCTTGGTTTTAATTAAATCATTCCAAATATTTCTCATATTTTTACGTCAATATAGTTGACGGGTGAATTAATTTAACTCATGTTAAGTAAAAATTGTATCAGTAGAAATTATTTTTAATATAAAATTGTTTTCGTTGATAAATTGATTAAATAATAATAGGCTTTAGCAGTTTAATCTTTCTAAAGGCATTATAAAATTATTTAGATTTATACCAAAAAGAAAAATTAAACGAAACATAACAGCACAAAATATTAAATTAATTTTCGCTAAATTTTTATCTAAAGTTTTGCCCACAGGTTGAAATTGGCGTTGATAATCAATCTGAAAAAATCTATAAAAACTGCTTGAATGAAATGAATAACACATGTGAACAATTACGATCTTAATCAAAATGCATTTTCAGAATTAATCAGAAAATTTTTACACACTTGAACGCCGTATTTTACTATTGTCAGAGCTACCAGACTATATACCAAACTCAAGCCAATCATATATTACTTCGATTTTCGCTGAATGGATCTAAATATTAAATGCTCCGGTACAATGAAGTTAGACTTTAAAAAATATGAATTGAGCATTGTGTGACATAAAAAAAAATGAGTAAATTATGAATGTACGTGCATTCAAATACAACATTAGGCTGGTCTTAACTTAACTCGGCTGAAGTCATTCATCATCGTGATCATAAAATGTGTCTGTCGTTGATGGCCTCCATATTGGGAGGGGTGGGGGTGCCTACGATATTTTTCGTAAAACATTTAAATATTTTTTGTTATGCCGAAAATACAATTTGCTTCTGTGGTGAGTTTCAGTGTTAAGTTTTTTTTTGGTAAACTTCATTTTCATTTTCCATCACCAATAACAGAATACATAAATTTTAATTAAATGCCGAATAAAATTTTCTATCGTGCCTACAGGAAACATTCGACTCGCTACTGTTTTCATCCAGGCGCTTATTGTATTATTTTTGCTTGCAATTATCTCTTAATTATCGTTTAGATCAACCAACAACAAGACAGAAGTGTGTGAGTATCGCAAATCAACCCATCACTCACCAGGGATTGCATGCGTGCGTCTTGAACCGAGTCATAGCAACAGCAGCAACAAGCTCTTTTCCACAACAGCACCATGCCATCCACTGTGTAATTTCCGTCGCTCACTTCACAAATAACAAAGTTTACAAAATAAATGTGCTAATTTGAGAAATTAGGAAAAACGATTATGCTAAGGCAATTATACTTTTTTGTGAAGGACCAGAAAAAACAGCTATGTTGATGGAGATAAAAGTTTAACATAGCAAAAATCAGTTTATTTTGAATTTAGACTTTGGAATTCCATGGGTAGCCATTAGACAGGTGATGCTAAGAGCAGCGCAGCAGGTGTGGTCTTAATCTTAATATGCCATGGAATTTTAGGCTGGGATAGACCTATCCTATTTTTCTCATATTTACACCTTAATGAAAGCAAAAGCGGCATTAAGTTCACACATTCTTTACATTTTGTGAAGGAAACTTAATAATATGTATTGTGGATTGTGGGTGTTCAAGCCATGGCGCATGAAGAATGATTTTACATTCAACGTTACATTCAAGCTTTATAGCTCAATTCCTATTCTAAAATTTCATGTTTTTTCATACTTCAGATTATTATAGCTAAATTAAAACTCTACAATAAAAAACTGAATAAACTTTACAATATGATATTTTTAAAATACATATTAATAATTTAACTTTTGCATATATATGTGTTTAGAATGAAATAGGTTATGCATGTCAGATGAAATTTTAAGATCTTATATTGAAACATCTTACTTACTTAACTGTCGTCAACGTCATTTATTTGAGTCCATAGATCGCGACTTTGGGTTATTTAGCAATTATTTCTATTATTTCTCGTGAAAATCACCTTTTTTAAATTGTGTTTCTGTTGAAATTGCAATCTAAAAGTAATTTATTGAAGAAAGAATGGCGTCTGCAAAGTTGTTCTATTTTGATGGACGTGGTCGGGCCGAACTCATCAGAATGGTTTTGACTGCTTGCGGAGTCAAGGTCCGAAATTTCTAATAAATTTAGTTAAACTAGAATTCATTCTTATTATTCAGTTAATTATCATTTATTGGCACTGCCACTGACAATTCTAACGAAATCTTTGCGTGTAAGGAAGCAGATGTCACTCCAATTTTATAATTAATTAATTATAATTACAATCAAATCATATCAAGACAGAGACATAGCAGTGAACAGAATTATTATATTATACTAATATTATATTATAAATTATATTATACTTTTACAGAAAATACTATTTAATTAATTTAATGATAATAAATTATAAAATAACCAATTCTAATTTAATATAATATTTGATTAATTAATCATCTCTAAAGTACAGTGAAACTTGCATGTCATCCAAAGAGCAGTTCCTGGAATTAAGACCAAGTTATTGGAATTTGCTTTTACTATTTTTTTTAATAAAGTTATTTTATTATCAAATTATTATATATTAATAGATAATTATAACTTATTATAATTCGATTCAGTTTTTGTATAGTTTGAATTTACTGGCAAAGTCATTAATTTATATTTTTTTGAAGATTATCTCACTTTTATCTAAATTAATCAAATTTTTTTTATAAAAATAAATATGAAAAAATTATAAACAGGTCTTCTATTTGGACAACTTCCATTGTTGGAGATTGACAATGTGAAGATAGTTCAGACAAATGCCATTGTAAGACATCTTGCTAGAACTCACAAATTAGATGGCAAGGATGAAAAAGAGAAAACCTTGTAAACATTTCTATAGTGATACTCTATTCAGTTTTAACTTTTACTTTATTTGTTTTACGTTTTTCTAAATTCTTAATTCATCGTTATTTTATATTTTAAAAATTCCTAATTCATTGTTTTCTCTCTGAAAGGATTGATCAATATTATGAAGGTTCGAGGGATTTTTTGGCATCGTTTATGGGAGCCGGTTTCATGGTGGCACTTGAAAAAGTTGCAGAACATGCCAAGCCTGCAGTTGATAAGTACTTTGCCATCTATGAAAAGGCATTTACATTTTGTATATCACAAATAATTATAACTACACGTCAACCAACTACAGTTGTTGAACAGTGATTGCAATTTTAAAATAACTTATTGCAAGGTTTTGAAAGAGAATGGTTCAAGCGGTTACTTGGTCGGCAGTACAATGACCCTTGCAGATCTCAGTTTGCTGGAAGTTGTGTTGATGGCTGGGGATTATTATGGAGAGGCTGCGTTTGATAGCTATCCCGAGTTAAAAGTTTGAAATAAACCTTTGTTATTTGATTTATTTACGTTTCACCAATTTACCTCTTCAATGCATGAGATAACTTTCGTCAATTAATTGTATCTTTGGTAAAACCTTGAGTCATTGCTTTTGTTGCATATTTTAAACAACGCTACAGAAATTCAAAGAGACCCAGTCCAAATTGAACTTCTACAATGACTACTTTCATAACATTAGAAAGCCCATGAATTCTCATGAATATGTCACCAAAGTTAAAGAAGTACTTAGCATGAAGTGATGGACGTTAGTCTGGCTGGAAATAAATAACAACTTGCCACTTAGTAACACAGCTTGTTGATCTTCCTTCTCATTATAGCTGCTAATTTTTTGTTAGTTTATACATATTGTTCTTTAGTTTTTATCTAGAAAATTTTTACTTAATTTAAATTAATAATATGGAGTAAAACGAATTTTTAAAAATGTAGTTAAATACATTCGTTTTCATTGTGGAAAATTCGCTTTTGCGATTGTGTCATCAACATAACAATTAGCGAACTGAACGTATGAGTAGGTAATTAAAATATCAGACATAATATTAATAATAACAGCCTGGTGAAAACAGTACTTGTTAATGACCGATTCCGATATTTAACACAAATGAATTTAAAACTAATTGAAAACGCTTAAATGAAAATCCAACCATCAATTTCTCCAAATATATAAAATTGTCAAGAGAAATAAATGTTTGAAAGCGACGATCAACGATTATATTTGAGATGCATAGGTGTGCGTGTATGTGTTGTGTGCGTGTATATGTTGTGTACGTGACGATCGTTTACAACAGAATATAATAATCTAAAATGAGAAATAGAGATGTCAATAAAAAGTTTACAATTATGGTTATAATGAAAATTCAGAAAGTTCATTTATGTATAAATGTCAACAAACGAAATAATTTCGAATTGGGAAAAAGTGTCGCACATTGTTGCAAAATCGAATGATGGCTAGCAGGGATTAGTGCGAAATGAAAGGGGTGACTGCAGTTATAACTGGCACCGCTATCAAGGTTAAAAGTAAGGATGATACACAGGTACAGCGTTTATATCGCACATTCAATAATGTTATTTTCTATGTAGGCAAATCAGCTTCGTACGATTAGAGAAGTAAATATTTCAACTGCACGATGAAAAAAGTATAACAATTTTTTTTGAATAATTAAAAACCAAAACAAGAAGTTATATAGAAGACGTAATTTGAGAACAAAATTTCAATTTTCAAACAACGTTTAAACTGAAACAAAAAAAAGGATGAGCAACTATATAAAAAAACAACCAGATGATGTATAGGTGTGTTTGTGTCACCCTATATCCTCTCTCTCTCTTTCTCTCTCTCTCTCTCTGTGTGTGTGTGTGTGTATACGTGTACAGATTATTCCCATAAGTAGAACGTGCATGTATACAAATTATTTATATATATCTGACACGCGTCATTAACTAAATATATTTAAGAGTTTTATACAGAGTTAAATAGCCATTCATTTAAAGTACATTACATGAAGAGAAAATCACATTAAACAAACGTCGTTTTATAAAAAAAAAAATATACAAATATATTATATTTCATTACATGAATCCAAAAAATAACATGATCGACAGAAGAAATAATAAGCCTGGAATACCTAATCAACTTGAAAAACGCTCACTAAACGGTTTGATTAGAAATAACGATAAAAATAATGATAAACAACATTAATAATAATAAAAAACATTAATAATAATAACACTAATTAATAAGAATAATAATAACATGAATGGTTTATATGGCGCATGTGACAAGTAACTGAGGTGTTCTTTGCCATATTGTTAGGATGTTAGCTGTTCTAAGAATGAATTAGTATACTACATACATACTCAAACGGAAGAAAATTGTTAAATTGAATGCAAAAAATTATTTAAGAACAAATAAATTAACGGATGTAATATTTTAATAAACTGTTAATTTTAAAATGAGATGGATGTTGTAGTGGCTAAGACGCCTGGTCCTGGCATTAATTAATTAATTAATACAAAATTAATAATGTTAATAATTAGATTATTCTCCCCCCCCCCCCCTCTCTCTCTCTCTCTCTCTCTCTATATATATATATATACATATATATATAAACTATATTAAATATAATTGGCAAGTTAACTGACCATTATTCAACAACAAAAATTGAATAATTCAATTTAGAAGAAAAAGATGATTAAATTAATAATAATTAAAACAGTAAAAAAAACTCCACATAGACAAAAAATAACTCTTACTCTTAATGAAAATCAATCAGTCAGTCAATTAATTAATGAAATTATTAAATTCATGATGAGATTGTTTTGTATATGATGGTGGAAACTTGCCCTGATTGATTGAAAGATGGCACGAATGCACAATTAGACATAAATACATACGTATATACCAATATAGACACAAACACACACACATACATACATACACACACATACATAGAGATGAATAATTTTGTTCATAGCAAATTGTGCAAGATAGTTTACGTATAATTTTAAAGTTTGCATAACGTTACAAAGTCCATGATTTAAAAATATGAAAATAATTAATTTTTAAAATTATATATATATATATATATGTGTGTGTGTATGTGTGTGTGGGCGTGCGTGTGTGTAATCAGCAATACACCAAAGGCATAGATCAAAAGACAGAATTATAACGAATCATCAAGTATTAAAAAATGTTAATAGCTATAATATATATAAATTAAATGAAAAAACTGGATTTAAAACGAAAACACTGAAAAATGTGGAAATTATTAAATAAAAAAAAACTCTGAATCGTTTTAGCTACGATGCCATATATATATATATATATATATATATATATATATATATATATATATATATATATATATATATCATTTAAACCAGAGCAACAACCTATTTAATTAAACTAGACCGTTTAATGAAACCAGGCCGATGCTCTTACTTAATTAATTAAACCGGATCAGTGACACAATTTATTACAACCAGATCGATAACCTACCTAATTAAATCTGACCGGTGACCTATTATATATTGAAACCAGGTCGATGACCTATTTCTTTAACTATGTCAGTGACCTAAATAATTCTTGCCGGCTACGCCCCTGGACAGCAGGGCCGCCAATCAGTGGGCGGGAAATCAGGGTAGAAGCCATTCCAGCAGATAGAAAAGAGGACGAGCAAGAGGTAGAGAGCCAGGCAGACCCAGAACAAAATTTTCTCCCAGCGCAGTACCTCAATGTTCCTCAAGACGGGCACTCCGATCAGGACGCCTGTCAAATTTAAGAAAGGGGTCTTGCACTAAATTTATTCAATTTAATTTTTTTATTATATTTTATTTTAATAATAATAAGTAATAATTATTATATTATATTGAATTCCTTTTAAGGTAAACTCATGAAAAAGAACCTGCGGCCAATCCGGCAAAGTGTGCGGCATAGGCCACTCTGTTTGGATTGTTGTAACGGGACCAGATGGCCACACCGATGTCCACCGAAGCTGGCAGGTTCGACGTTTCGAGACGAGAAATAAATTTAATTCCAACAAATATTTTCAATGTGGTTTAATTAAAAGTAGTTCATACCACTGTTCAACGATTCAATATGTACTTGTGGTTTTTAATTAAATATAATATCATCGTTATTATTATTGTTGCTAGGAATACATTAACATTAATCATCATAATTTATTTGCATGTGTAGGGCCAACTAACCATAAATGGACCAAAACAGTAGCTGGATTGGAGCACTGAAAATAAATTTTAAAGGGCCAGACATCCAGTCGTGCGTCATGTTTTTCCAATTCTGGTGAGTCGATTTGCATGAATTAACATTGATTTACATAAATTAACATAAATTGATGTACATTAACATTAATTTACCATCATTATCATCATCACCATCATAATCACAGAGACTATCATCATCATCATCATCGAGATCATCATCATCATCATCCAGTCATCATCATAGAGACCAACATTATCACTATCATCATCACCATCATCATCATCAAGACCAACATCAGCATCACCATCATCATCATCAAAACCAACATCATCATCACCATCACCATCTTCATCACAACCAACCGACCATGATAATAGTAGCGAAATGAGCGCCGATGAGCGCATAACATCCTCCACTAGCTCCCACCAGGTAAGTCTTGTTGTCAAATATTGATGTGGCCAACGAACCTAGATGGAGGTGACAATGTACATGTAACATGCTATCTATCTATCTATCTATCTATCTATCTATCTATCTATCTATCTATCTATCTATCTATCTATTCATCCATCCATCCATTCATCCATCCATCCATCTTATATTTATTATAACAAAAACATTACAAAGATATAGCATCACAGTAACAATGACAGTACACTGTCGTGACATTAACGGCATAACAGATATATTACATTTTTCTTATGACATTACAACATTAACGTAGCAAAAATATAGCATCGAAATATAACTTTACAACATTGTGACATTAACAGTTTTAAAATATAACATTAGATTTAGGCATTAACAACAAACAAACGAACGAACAGACGAACAAAAGAACAAACAAACAAAAGAACAAACAAACCAGCAATAACTCCGAGCACGTAGACAATACCAACCCGCCAGAATTTGTGAAAGAGTTCGAGGGGAAGTCCAATAATCAGCTGGAAGATCAAGTTAGAGAGGATGTGCATGATGCTGTATACGTGTGTGTGTGTGTACGTTTGTGTACGTGTATACCTATGTGTGTGTACAGTTGAATGTGTGCGTACACGAGTTATTACGCTATATACAAGATAACGGAGGAGTTTTTTTTACTAGATACAAGACATACAATGAATAAACCAAACGTTAAAAGCAATGAAGAATTCATGTCGCAGAAAACTTTTAATGAATGCTTATGTGGTTGGTTGAAAATCAACAGTTTACTGATGAAAGAAACTATATTATACAATGTTTCTGTATATCAAGTAACAATAGCCTTAAACGCCTGTCTGTAGTTATTAACCACAGAGTCAAACACACATGAAATTTTATAACAAAAAAAAATGAAATGAGTTTATACTAAAGCAAACAGTCATTTATCATCAACCTTATCATCATCTTGGTCGTCGTCATCATCCTTATCATCATCATCTTCGTTGTCATCATCATCATCATCATCAGCGTTCATAACATCATCTTTGTCGTCATCATCATCATCAGCGTTCATATCATGACTATGATCAGGATATGAACCAACATAGCCTTGCTGCAGCATAAACTCTCCTGGCGTTTGTACAACGAAGGAACGCACTCACACCAAAAAATGTCTATAAAAAAACTGCTAAGGAAAATTGTAGGAAGAAAAATTAACAATAAACCAAAAGAAACAGAAAACAAAACGGAGAAAAACAGTGAAATGTGAAAAAAAGAAGAAAAAAGTTATAAAAACTGAATCCAAAACTTAAAAAAAAAATGGTAAAAAGAGAAACCAACATTAAAGAACAAGACAAAGTGGAAGAGACGTAACGAAATATTAAAAAAAACACGAATCCATATCCATTTTTTTATTATTATTAATATTATTATATGAACATTTATATAGCGCTTTTTCTAAACGAATTACTCAAATTCAATCAAATTATCCACATCATCCCAGCACGAGAGCCGAAGAACGAACCCGTCATGGATGAACATGTAGGAGATGAATCTCCAGGCCTCGTACCTTCTAAAAGGGTTGTACGTGAGGGGGCTGTAGAGGGGCGCGCCCGTCGTCCACGACGTCTCCGTCTTCTGAATCTTTGCATACACTATGAAGATCACCAGCTGAGGTAGTTGGGTACAGTGTGCGGTTGGTATTTGGGTTGGTATTTGGGTATCGTGTGTGGTATGTACCTTGCAGGTATCTTGATGTGTAGTAGGTATCGTAATATGTGTCGTTCAAATATTATGATATCATGGATATGTAGTAGATATCATAATATGTATGTACGAGTATAATTATTTACATATGTATAGTATATCATAATATGTATCGTTCAAATATTGCAAATATTAGGTATCGTGTGTGGTATGCGGGTATCATGATATCAGGATATGTAGTAGGTATCATAATATTCTGGAATTGTTTGACTTTAAGTGATATGCAGGAGTTATGATATCTGACGGAGTTTTCAAAAGAACATGCTGATCTTATGGTGTATTGTGTGTCATTCCTAGTCCTCAAATAAACTATTATAATCATACTGCCAAACAAATAATCAACTAAACAACCAGCTAACTAACTAGCTGGCTAACCAATCAATCATCCAGCCAACCAACCAGCCAATAAAGCAACCAATCAATCAAACAACTAACCAATCAATACGCCAGCCAAACAACCATCCATTTAATTAACTAACCAACCAATCAAACAACTAACCTGCCAGCCAATCAACCAACCACCAATCAATCAAACAACCAGCTGACCAATCAACCAGCCAATCAGACTTTCAACCAACCAGACAATCGACCTGCCAACCAGCCAGACAATCAGCCAACCAACCAATGAAACCACACCTCAATAATAGAGACAGTGATCATAAAGAGGGGTGGTGGACAGCAGCTGTAGTACTGGAAGTAATGATCCACGTACGTTTCCCCGGTCGGAAGTTGCTTGCTCGGCACCACAGAACTAACAGCAGTCCTTAACAGTCGCTGAAAATTTGTCAGTTCTTTGCCTCTCTCCAACGATTCCATCTAATGGAAAAGGTGGGAAAAAACCTCGTCAGAGTCATTTTTAAAAATTTCAAATTAAAAACAACGGGCCATTTTTGCAAAAAATAAATAACGAAAAAATGATAACAACAACAATTACAAAAAGCAACAGTAACAGAAAAAACATTAACAACACTAATAATAATAATAATAATAATAATAATAATAATAATAGGTCCAAAAAAAAAGTCAAAAGATCCAAATACTGACGACACGCATGAATTCTTCATAACTCAGGACTTTATCTCTATTGAGATCGGCCTGCTTCAACAGCCGTCTGATGTCAGCCTTCGAAAGTTCCTGATCCCCGAAATCCTGCAAAGTCGACTCCAGCACTCCTATCGGGATTCCCCCACTCTCCTCAAACTAAAATCATGTTATTTCATTTATTTTAATTAACTGATTAATTAACTTATTAATTAATTATAGTTTAATAAAGTGATCAATTAATTACTGTTTTTATCATTTTTAATAATTTCATTGCTATAACTGATATTTGTAATATTGTTATATTATTATTAAAACTAATTTGTATAATATGTATATATATATATATATATGTGTGTGTGTGTGTGTGTGTGTGTGTGTGTGTGTGTGCGTATGTATATAAGATTATTGTCATAAAATTAAATCAATGTTTATGTAATAGATGACATTTTTAATTTGTTTTTGATGTATTTTTTTATGACTAAACAGACAGATTGATAAACTGGCTGACAGACAGACAGAAAGACTTACAAACACAAACCCAGACAAAGTAAGAAAATTATAGAAGTGAATAGAAAAAAGTTCAAACAAACTTGATCAAAGAGGGGTCTATAGACCTGGAGGAAAATTTTTACCAATTATATTTAATTAGTTTTAATTAATGAAAAAAAAATTTAAAAAAATTATTTATTTATTTCAAAAACACAGACCAGAAGTCCATTATGGAGTTGTATGATTCATACTTAAGTACAAAATAAAAAACAACTTCAAAAGACGATGAACTATGAAATATTATTTAAAATAAAATATTAAATAAATATTTCATATAATTAATTAGATATTAAAATTAATAAATAACAAATAGTAATTTAATTTTTAAAATAAATTAGAAAAATCGAGTCACAGCCAACCCTTTCATATCTTTCTTTTAGTGGAATTTCTTCGAATCGATTTGTTTGAGCTCTCCGACCACCCTTAGATGACATAGCTTGGACAGTTTATTATAAAATTTTCTTTTTTTTTTACAAAAAATTTGAAACTGGAATCCAAATTTTTGTGGCAACCTTTTCTTAAAAATTCTAGATTCTGTTCAATAAAAATAGATGCAATTTCAATAAAACTATTTTTAATTGAAATTCAAAAATTACATTTTAAAAATATTTTATTCACCCAAAGTTTAATAAATAAATTAAATATCAGTCTGAAGAACAAGTAAGTCACTATACTGGCATTTTAAATTATTTCAATTTTATTATTTAATAAAATAAATTATGATCTAATCTCATCTTTTTGATCAATCGGCATCGCGATGATCTAGTGATCAACAATTTGTCAAAAAGCCATTGTACTATTCATATTATATTGCAATATATAATATAACAGGCTTAAAATCGTGGATTATCCATCTTTTTCTTATATTATGATTTTATAATTTTTATGTCATTCAATATTAATAGCAACTGTAATATGTAATGTATAATATAATTTATTAGTTACTATATTATAGTACAAGTTATTACGAGTATTAATAATATAATTTCCAATAAAACTTATTTATAACAATATTTCTTCAGATCCATAGAATTGGTTGTGTTGTATTGGTTGTGGAAAATTTAGTTTCTTAATTGAAAGTTTGTTGGTTGTGTATTTATTATTATAGAATGAAAAACCTTTCAAGTTCGTGAACATCCAAAAATGTAATTTAACAAACTCATTTTGCAAAACTCAAACGATAATCAACTGCCACAACTAACTTCACTTACCTTTCGTCACTAATCGTTTTTCACATTACTCATCAACTCCGGTTGCTACTTAAAATAAATACCTTGAAGGATTCAAAACATAAGTTTACTTTTCGTCGCCAATTCATAAAAACGCGTTTTGATATCGAGGTGAGATTTCTTATTTGACTGCCAGCTTGCTAACAGATAGTAACAAACTAATTGTACAGGTTTATTTTCTAATCACTTATATTAGTTCATTGAGCTTGTTTAATGAAATAAATAAAAATCACTCCTGACCCTTACCGAGATAATTGTCTACAGTTCAATTCTTACAGTAAAAATTTCAAAACAAAAAAGTAAATGGGCTCAAGCCATGGGTCCTTATCCCCTATCAAGTGTTGGACAAAATTTGAATTGAAATGATTTAAATTTTTTTTTAATTAATTGTTATTTTTGATTTTAATTTAGAACCAATTCTCAATAGCTGATTTTGGCATTTGTTTCAAATCAGTACTTACGTGTTAATCACGATTTTAAAAACTGACGGTGAGTGTAATGAAATTAATAACAAAAGTGATGACAAAAATTTTAGTAACGCAATAATTATACTTTTTCAACGAGTTTGTGATCTCTTACCTTCTTACATTACTTATACTTACATGCTGAAGCATATACAAACACCATAGAACCCATAAACATGTCAAGAACTTAAAAACATAACAAAAGTGAGGAACCTTGACATTTAAAAAACTCATCAAAAAAGAATTGTTAAATTTTTTTATTTAACACTGCGATACGATTGATTCTACAAGAGATAATTCTTCAGAAACATTAAAGAAAAATGAATCATGTCAATCGAACAAGCCAATCAGTTTCCTAGTTTATATATATATATATTTTTCCCTAACTGCAGCTATCGAGACTTTTAAACCAAAAACGCTATACAACACTAAAAACAAAACGTTAGATTTCACACACAAGGTTAAGTTTTTTTGATATTTTGTCAACACGTCGACTTCATAGCAGCAATTTTTTGATTTAGTCCCATGTGTTTACGGTTATAAAAACGGAGACCCAGAAGTTTTTAAGTAACATAACATACGACGTGACTGATTTAAGAATGACTTAGTAAATGTTGCAGTCTGAGACGTTAACGCTTAACACGTGGTTGCGATCATGGCGACTGACAAAACTATTATGTTCCATTATGTAGTGTCTCCCGATCAGGTGTCGGTGAATTGTTACGAGAAACAAAGCACCAAGCATAAAATCAGGACGGACGATATCGGATACCAATACAGCATTCTAAATGTTATGATTAACAAGTGAACGACTCTAGTATCCCTCCCACGTGCACGAAAACAAAAGCTTTTGACCCTTTGTATTCTATAAACAATATAATTAAAAGATGTCCTCTCAGACAGGTTCTTGAGCAACTTATTATTAAGTTTGTCAAGCGTTTTATGAGAAGAAATTAATTTATTATATGCCCTTTTTAAAATAAAAAACTAGATTCGATAGCATGCGAATAAGTTTCCTTCAAAAGGGATAAACGACACATTTAGTAAATAATAAATTTAATGTTATTTAATAATTTAATTAAACATTAATTGAAAACACATATAAAATCGCCTGAACTGATAAGCCCGAACTGCGAGAAAAATAAAACCAAAAAGACGGAGCGTGATAGGGTCAGGGTATTTATACAAAAAGTGGTAAGCTAAAAGATCTAAATAAAGCAGAGGTCACATTAAAAAAAATTAACATTAGTTTTAAAATGATTAGTTTAAAAAATGATATGATTTAAAAATTTAAAAAAAAAAAAATAATAATACGTTAAATTAATAAAATAAAATTTAAAACAATTTTATACAAGTTTTTGATGGTTTTTACGTTAAGTTTCGTAGTTCTTTGTGTTCTGATTAGATTGAGTGATAATACGATCAGAGAAACCTGTCGTTTCTCTGAATTTTTAAATAAATAATTTTAAATAAATTTTTCAAAATGAATCAATCCGGCATATCTTTCAACGTTGCGAAGAAAGCCGAGTCTAAAGTAAAGTCTAAAGAAAGTGTTCCGGACATTTCATATGACAATGAAGAAGGTGAAAAGAAAAGGTTGTAAAGTGGAAAATCAATGTCTTCACTTCTTCTTATTTTATTCAGTTATTCAATTTGATTTCAATTTTTAAACTATAAAAATATGAAATAAATAAAAGATAAAATTGTAAATAAATCTTAACTATTAAATTATTAATTAATCAATTGATGAATTAAAATTTAAATAAAATTAGCAAATATTGTTTTCAATTCAAAATTAATTTATAATTAAAATAAAATACCAAACTAATTACTAAATTTAACATTGTTTGACTATTTTATTTTTAGGGGGAGTTTTACAGTTGATTAATTTAATTTATAAAAATAATATGTAATTTAATATGATATTATATAAGGAGATTTAAATATTTAATATTAATTTTTTTTACTCAATTTCTTTTTTTTAATTAAGAATCTCTATCTATTTATTCTATTGCTATTTTATATTTTTTTTTACATTCAAATAAAAAATATCAAAAACAAAATAAAAAATAAATCAATTATTTGGATACACAGATATAATATAAATATAAATAAATAAAATAAAATAATAAACCTTTTGATAACAGACACATCAAGAAGAACAGGAAACTTGTTGTACCATTGCCATCAAATAATAACCAAAGGTTAGTAGATGGACAAAATGGCCTCAGCGGTGTAATGGGTGTAAGTGAGAAAAGGCAAACACCGGACAGTGCAGAGCCTTCTGATCTGATTAGGAAGCTGATGAAGATGGCTGATAGGGATGATGCCACATTTAAAAAAGATCTAGATTCTTTAAATGATGTTGGTCTTTTTTGTTGAATTGTTCAGCTTTTTTTTACTGTTAATAATTTTAATCTTTTTTGTACTGAAGCTTTATTATTATTTCTATTCTATTTTATTATTTATTTATTCTTAAACTTTAAATTCAGTATCTGTTTTCATCAGCAACAAGCTGTCCAGAATTGCATTGTACTTTTAAATTTATAATTATTTATGAGAATTTTTTTTCCGATTCGATTACATTTTTATCTACATAAATGAATATGTAAATAAATGAATATGTAGATAAAGGATTATGTAAATTAATGAATATATAAATAAATGAGTATTCAATTGAATGAATATGTAAATAAATGAATAATTAATTAAATAATATAATAAATAAAAATATTTTAAGGAAGACTCTGAAGATTATAGTGAGGTAGCCATTGAAGATTTTGGGCTTGCCATGTTGAGAGGAATGGGATGGAAGGATGGTGACAAGTTAGTTTTTGTGGCAAGGGGGTGTTTTTTGGCCTATTTTTTTCAGTTTTTTCTTATTTTTTTCTATTTTATTTTACGATACATGTTTTTTAATTGATACTCAAGATCACCAGAACATTCATAAAACGTTTGTAACTGTAACAGGAGTAGAGTAGACTCTGAGAAAATTCTTCTGAAACCTCGAACTTTTGGTCTGCCTACAGATCAGAAAGATGAACTGTCTGATGACGATCGAAACGAGAAGAGGAAGAGGAAGAAAGACGATCAACATGACGACGACGATGACGTCATCAACAGCGGTGGTGCTGTCAGTGGTGGCAGTAGGAGTAGAGATAAATTTAAAATGAAGAAAGGTCAATGGTGTGCTGTGATAGGTGGAAAGTATAAGGGGAAGTCTGGGAAAGTTTGTTTGTTGTTTTAGTTTCAATTTTGTTGTTTCGGTTTTGTTGTTTCAGTTTTTTTCGTGGCACATTTTATAAGATTATTTTGTTATTTCGGTTTTATTTTTCTGGTGGCTCAATTTTCGAAGTTTTTTGTTATTTAAATTTTCATTTTTTGTTCATTCATTTTTTAAAATCTGTTAAGTTTTTTTTCTGGGATTTCTACTGTACCATACCAAATAACATACAATACCACACCAGATAATGGGATTTGAGGACAACAATTCCTGGGTGATTGTTAAGCTGCTCCCGTCTGATGATTTTATAACCGTTCGGGATTACCATGTTTCCATCGAAGATTCACTCAACGGTTTGGTTGATTATATTGTTTTTTTTAAATTAATGTTAATAGTATAATGGTTTTGGTATTAATTTTTTCTCTATGATTCCAGTATTTTTTCTAAAAAGTGATTTTGAAAGTGATTTTGAAAAAAAAATTCTACCATATTATATTTTTTTTTTTTAATAGTAAGATAATACTTGCTTTTGACTTCTTATTTGTAAACCACTATCTACTAATTCTCTTGACACGACACGACATATCTTGTTTTTCCATTCAAAGTCAACACATTCGCAATAAAATTTATTTAAATGAATTTTAGGACATTTTCATCTTTTTATAAATTGTATTGAATAAAATAATAAATAAACAAATTAATTAACTAAATAAAATAATAAGTAAAAAAGTAAGCAATTAGACAAATAAATATATATTGAACATTCACTTAATAAAAGTTTATTAAACAGTTTGCATGGATATATTTTATAACCACCCACCCACCATAGACGAGGTGAATTCGAGGAGGTGTGCACCGATCGATCGCCAAGAATGCCACGAACACCATTCCAACGAGCACGGCCATTCAAAGCATAATGATAAATCACACCATAAAAAAACGTCAGTTAAATTGGTTGTCATTTTGTGAAGAAGTTTTTTTGCATTCTCCCAAGAAGGAAAAATGACCTTTGATTTTTTTTCAATTATTTGATGAAAGACATTTTTTTCCAGGAGTAAGACTCACTGGTTGCGAAACGGTATCGTTGTACGAATCATCAGCCGAGATTTTAAGGAAGGCAGATACTACAAGCAAAAAGTTCGTTTAGGTTAACATCTGTTATTAATGTTTCCAAATTTAAAGAATAAAATTTTATAGTAAGTAAATAAATTAATTAATTATTAAATTAATAAATTAATTATTAAATTAATTAGTTATAAAAATAATTATATAAATTTGTAAATAAGTTTTCAGTTACTGAATAGTTGAAAATAATTTGATGATCATTTTTTATTATTAATTTTTTTAATTTTTATTATTTTTTATTTAATAAAACATTCCATAAAATATTTTCCTCTAGGCAGTTATTGAAGACGTCACAACGCCACGTACATGCACGTGTAGAACTGACAATAACATAATGCTAGAAGGTTACTACTATTAAAATGAATGAGTGACTGATTGAATGTGATTGAATGAATGAGTGAATGAATGAATTAATGAGTGAATAAATGAGAGAGTGAATGGATGAATGAGGGACTGAATAAATGAAGGAAGGAATGAATGATTGAATGAATGATTGAATGAATGAATGATTGAATAAATGAATGATTGAATGAATGAATGGCATGGACATATTGCTTTCAGATTCACATTCACAATGAGTTCGTATGTATTTTAGTTTTACATGATTATTCACGTTACTTTGTTCATCGATTTTAATTGATTTGAAAAATAATATTTGAATGAATGATGAATGAATCATTCAATCAAAGATGAAATAATATTGTATATATATGAATAAATTTTCAACTGTTTGTTAAAAACGTTTTGCTCTGCTTAAGAATTTTTTTTTTCAATAATTTCGTTAACTCCGTTTTTATTACATTATATAGATTTTATAATTTGTAAGATTTTTTTTTTCAAATTCTCCAAGATTTGGACGAAGACATGTTGGAAACAGTCATACCAAGAGAGGAAGGCTCTCATGTCATGATCGTTAAAGGTCTTTACAAAGGACAGGTCTGTCTCTGAAATTTAAATTTTCTTTCAAGTTCATCTTTGAAGGAATGTTTATTTATTTCATGTTTTATTTTGTTGTGTGATACGGACGCATAGCATAAATAACTAATGGTTTTGTTCTTTTGAGTAATTTTGTTTGTTTGGTTTGTTTGTTTATTGTTTATTATTCTATGCTGTATAAACAAAGGTATCTAAATGATTTTCTTTGTTTGTTTGGTGTAATTTATTAAAACATTTCTTCCATTTTTATTTGTTAATATTTCACTTTTTTTATTTAATAAAATGGTTAATTTAAAATTTAATTTTTTACCTGTTTCAGATCGCCATCATGCTGGGAAGGAACAAAAAGGACGAAACTGTTTTCGTTAATTTATTGGACGACAATTCAAAATCATTAACGCTAACTTTCAACGACATCTGCCAGTGTGCATCTTGATTTTGTGCCTACTTAGGTCTATATATGTCTTCTGTATAGTTTGTTTTTCATTTTCGGACCGTACCATTTTAATGGGAATTTCAATTGAATATAATAAATCAAAATCGTTTAGCTATAAAATTTGTTTTTATAAACTTCGTAAAACTAAATGGTTGACGAGCAAAAAGAATTGAGATGTACTAGCATATAATTTTTATTATAAAAACGAGAAAAATTTAAGCCGCTGAAATAAATTTTGAAGTTGTAATATATAACAAAAAATACAAAAAATCGTTAATGCTGTATGAACAGAAGATTCCTTGTTAAAGAAATAGTAGAATCAAAGCCGTATCTACTTTGAAGGAATCACCATTTAGAAATGTTGGGTATCAGTGTTGATACGGACTGTACTTGAAAGAATCTTTTGAAGAATGTCATTATTTTTCGTATACCATCCAATTTTCTAGTCTCCTTCTTTCTGAAAATGTTACTCTTTGATTGCAGATAATTTTCTGGTACAACAACACGTTAAAATGTGGCATGCCGTATGAACAAGATTCCTTGTTAAAGATCAATTAGTAGAATCAAAGCCGCTTCTACTTTGAAGGAATCACCATTTTGGAATGTTGGATATCAGTGTTGATATGGACTGTACATGGAAAAATCTTTTGAAGAATGTCATTATTTTTCGAATACTGTCCAATTTTCCAGTCTGCTTCCTTTTGAAAATGTTACCCTTTGATTGCAGATAATTTTCAGGTATGTATTTCACCAATTCGTACCTCGTTAGATACTCAACTTTAATATTCGTTGCTTTTGAAAACCTCGGTCCAGCTGCTTCTTTAACTGTAAGAATTAAATAAATGAATTAATATTATTATGTTGATTACATTTTTATTATATTGTGAATATTAGATGTTTATATAGCACAAAATGTAAGTAACGCATTATTCAGAGATGGTTTTGAAGCTCTGAATGAATCTGCAATAATTGTGCAACTTGTTATGTGGCTATCGAGTCAGTGATGGTTTTTTAGTGGTAGTTATTGTGATAAATTTTCAGTGTTTAAGTTAAAAATAGTGGTTACATAAAAAAAAATTAAGCAAAGAAAACCAACCTAGATCGACAAAGTCGCATGTCTCTTCAGTTAGAAAAACATCGTCGTCCATGGCTCTACTCAGTGACAATCCAACGATCCATTGTTTGGAAAGTTCATCTGCCCTGTTATTATGAAACGTATTATTTGTTGTTGGATACTCCTCAAGACTTATATGAGCCCGCTTAATTTCAGGATTGGCTTCCAACTTTTGAACCAAGATTCTAAGTTTAGATTCAACGAGTCCAGACCATTCCAAATGACAGGCTGCATTTGCTGAATCAACCCTCACCGAGATAAAATGATTGTAGTGATTGAAAAAGTCAACCGGCTTAAAAAGAAACTCCCATGAATGTTTCTTCTTCATGACGTTGGTAGAAATTTTCAGACCCCTACTAAGTTCTTTCACTATGAGTGCCTTAGTTGAACTGCTGACGTTGTGTGCTGAGTTCTGGTTGGGGTAACATGGTGTGATGATCGGCATCAAATCGTCCGGAGTATCCCAGCAACCAAAACCTCCGGACTTCTTACTCTTACTCAGATGTTTCAGCAGAACTGGTTGAGGCCACTTCCATTGTGAGAATAAGACGAAGAACTTGTGGACGAGGACTGATGGAGTTGCATTTGGATAGATCTGACAGATGCGGGCCACCAATGTCGCCCACGACACTCCACCCATGAAGCCGAGGACATTCGAGTAGATGCCTCTTCCTGTGCAAATGAGGAGAAATTTATTATTTATCATTGACAATGCAAAGGTTTTCGATGATTTTTATAAAAAAAATACTGAAAATCTTAGCGAAAATAATAATGAAATGATAATTAATGTTGAAACATTCAAGAATAACTTACTTTTGGCCCAAAGTTTGATGGCTCGTAAGGTCGTTTTGAAGTTTTGGACGTGTGGGACGAGGTTCAAAATCTCAATCGTGTTTCGATAACCTGTTGAATAAAAAACAAATTATTAGATTCATGAACATTTCACATTTGTAACAATTCTTTCGAACCATTCATCTTTTTAGCGCACACAAAAACTCACAAAAAATTCAACTCTTCCTTTCATTATCACACAGAATCATCAAAACAAATAAGACAAACCGTTGATGCTCCTGAAAGATTTCTGATCCAAACCCTCCAACATGTCGTCGTCCATCAGATCCAGGGTATCTTCCAATTCTTTCACCGGCAGCCTGGCAAACAGCACATCAACATCAACGCCATCGAGTGTCATCCTGATTGCAGGCACGAAGGCGTAGAGAATGTTTTGCACGTTTGTCACCCCTGGCTCTCTCCTCAACATTTTCGTGAACGATGCGAAGAAATCCATTCTGTCGATTTGCTCTGGTGCCACTACCAACGTGTCTATGTCGGCCCCTTTAGCGTAAATGCCAAGTTTGTACGACCCAAAAGGGTAAACTTTCGCTCGAAGATTCGAATTTTGGGGTATCTTCTTTTCGGCGCTCACTTTTTTGACCCAAACGTCGACGAGATTGTTGATTCTCTTCATTATTTCAGTTCTGTTGGAATGAAAAAATTTGTTAGAAAAACACATTATAAGTAGGAAAATGTTTAACCGCTAATAAATCATTTAAATTCAATAAATGGTGAAATTTTAGCAAAAAACGTATCGTTACATACCTTCTAACAATGTCCTCATCAGTTTCATACATATCATTTCTATGCAAGACAGCATCCAGTTTTTTCGTTAGTTTTATTTCCTCTGGTCTCGGCTCGGCCAAACTCATCGGACCGGTGATTCCGTATGTTTCCGGCCAACTGTTTGATCCAGCGTGAACAGCTGATGTTGACGATGATGAATCATTGGTTGAAAAATACCTCAAGTAAGCCATTTTGATTCAATTTTTGATTACAAACGAAAAAATATCTAGATAACTAAACTGAGTGACTTAATTTAATGATGAAACTATACGAAGTTCTTCAAGAAAACTTATGTTCACCCAATTTACTTTCTCAAAATATCTCAATGTTTGAGTTCAAAAACTGTTAAAATACTATTAAAATATTTAAAATCTTCGATTCAAGAGCTGTGGAAAGGATATGTAAGCGATAAATTGTCAGGAAACTTGTGATGGGTAGCATTTCTCCTAGCTATATAGTATCGCGACAAGATATTTTCTATATTTGTTTCAAAGTGAATTCTTAAAGGACAACAAAGTTTTAAAGTGAATACTTAATTTAACTCGTCAACAATGAAGTTTTAAAGTGAATACGTAATCAACAAAGTTTTAAAGTGAATCTTGATTGATTGCTGAATACTAACATAACAACTTTAACTTTGCGTGTCACAAAGCCTGCCTGAATACTAACATAACAACTTTGCGTGTCACAAAGCCTGCCTGGTTTCATCTTTGTTAAATTTGCGATTAAGAATGCCAATATTCTATCACAATAATCGATCGACTTCCAATTATATCTGCATAATTGCTTCATTGTTAGTGAAGTGACTTTAATTAGGTTTACATTTTTATGACTTTGATGATTATAACGAACATGGTGATGTTTCTTGATGTTTGGTGATTTTTGATACAGAAGACTGTCGTAATGGCGTTTGTTACAAATTTTAATAACATAAAAATAAATAAAAAAATAATTATACCCTAAATTTTTCATTTAGTTCAGTTTATGAAATAGCAGGTTCTACGTTAAAAATACGATCAACTCACTTTCCACTTGTATCATCTAACAAACTCTGTGCCTTCTGTCACTTTTTTTCACATTTTCAGTTGACGAGCCATCGTTTGGAAAGATGTAAAATAAATTATGGTAAAATTACATTCAATATACACTACCAGCTGTTTTATTATTACCAAGTAAAACTATTTACGGCAGCCAGCGATCTGTAAACCTGAAATGAATAAACATTTTGTCTTAATTTTTGTATTATATTAGAGTAAACGTACAACGTCTTTGTTTGGTAAATTAAAAAAAAGTTTCAAATTAATCGTAGTAAAGAAATATATACAGCGAATGTGCGATAAGCTCGCTGACGTTTGATGAATGATTTATCCTACCATTCATATTAATTCAATCACCACTCACGTTATAACTCTGTTTTAGTCATATTTAAGAGACATTTTAATTCTAAGTGTGATTTAGCCTAAGAGTGATAACAAGAATAAGAACGTAGACCTAGCGGCTGAGGTTTAATTTAAATACTGATAAGTATTTAGAAAATAATTTAGATTGTGACTTGTACATTAATGTTCAAATTTTAAAAATTATTCTATATTTTATAGGTGGCCAGTATAAGAAAACAAGATATAATGATATATGAGAAAAGATAGGGGCATGACCAACTAGACGAGCTTTGCTTAAAGGATAGAGTGTAGAATCGAAGACCTTAATAGAGCGAGTTACATTTTACAATAATTAATCCTTGATAGACTAATGAATTAGCATGCAAGAGAAGAGTAGGATCATTGAGGAAATGTAAGTTACTTTATTATACGTCGGTGAATGTATTAAGTTAAAAACTTTTGGAAAACCTCTGAGAAGAATAAGGCATGTTAGAGTCAAATATAAAGCCTATAGGTACTACGAACTTATGAGAAAATAATTATCAAACAAAAAATTAGGAAATGCTAATATATAAATAGAACGTGTTTTAAACTAAAAATTTTCTACAATCAAGGCAAACAAAAAATATGAAATGTATTTTAAATTAAAGACAATATCACACGCATGGATGTGACTAGCAATAAAAAACAGTAAAAAAGTGATTTTGTTAACAATTCAGCAAAATTTATCTAACAACTTTGATGTATAATCTATAAATATTTTATAAATAATTTATAATGTATAATTTATAATTAACATCCCGAACTAGTGCTAATTCAACTAAATAAGTGGGCCTTATGTGTTTGTGAGGATTTCACTGTTTTTTGTTTAAAATAACTTCCGTCCATGGATGTTATATATATCCATGCTTTCTTTCTTTAGTTTGTCTTTGCACGTTGTTTTGGTCTTGAAGCATTTACGGCGTATTATCGGCACACTGTTTTGTCAGTTTCCTTCGGTTTTTGTCCGTCAAAAAAGAAAAATGATTATTCCGATCAGATGTTTTACGTGTGGTAAAGTCATCGGAAACAAATGGGATCAATATTTGGCTCTGTTACAGGCTGAATACACGGAAGGGTGAGTTTCTTTTCTATTGTATTGTTTGTCGAAACAAAATTCGTAATTTCTTTAATTTAAAATTGTATTTTGATTTTCACTTTTTCGAATGAAGGGGTTATTAACTCACATATTATAATTTAATTTCGATTTTTTAAAACTTATGTTTTTGCTTTACTAACTAACTTATATTGTATAAAATAAAAATATTAAAAATAAATATAATCAAATCAATATAAAAAAATAAGGTAATACTTAATAGATACTTAAATAGGAAAAGCAATAGAAAAAGCAGCCAAAACCCTATTAAATAGGGTTTTGGCTACTTTTGTTTCATATTAAATTATTATTTTATTAATTTAATATCCATTTATAATATATCAGAAATAATTTTATTTGTAATACACAGTGATGCTCTGGATGCATTGGGGTTGAAGAGGTACTGCTGCAGAAGGATGCTGCTCACCCACGTCGACCTCATTGAGAAGTTACTAAACTACGCTCCACTAGAGAAATGAATGTCTTTTAATTTATTTTAATTATAACTGCATCTTTTGTTTTCTTTGTTTCTGTTGGAATTTCATGTATAAAGGTTATTACAAATAAAATAAATATGCTCTAAAAACTATGTGTCTATGACTTTTTAGTACATGTGGAAATTGATTTTAGTAATGTTCAAAATTTGTTCTAGATAAGTATGTCCAGATTTATCAATTCTATTATATATGTATTTAATTTCAGAGGTGAATCTAGACCTAGACAACGTTGACATTTTTAAAATTTTGATTGGAGCCCAGAAATTGTCGGATTGAAATCCTAATGACTAAAAAACTAACAACCTTCAATGATAAATAAAGCACCACCAGCTAACAAGGTGATTGTGTGGGCTACCTCGGGAAACCGGGTCTCTGGACGCAAAACGAAGATTGATTGATTGTGTGGGCTATATAAGAAACTGCGATAACTATTCTGATAGGTATTCAGGCTGCTGATGAGTACCCGGTAGGGACGAAACATGTGTCCAGTCTATCCAAGCGAATACTATTTTTTTCTTCTCCCGTTCACTGCCCTTTCTGGTTCGGTGTTCTCAAACATAAGTGCAACCGCAACAAAGTTAACTAAATTACTAAAGAAGCCAAAATTTTGCTGACAGCTTTTTTTGCTCATCACGTCAATTAATGATGCATTTTTTCATTTAAAAGTGGTCTTCCTGTCTAAAAACTGAGTTCTAACGACTTAATAATAACACCTGTTTGATTAATCATTTAAGTGTTTATGAAATTCATTTTACTTTTACTTTGAAAAAAAAGTAAAAAATTTTCGAACATAACTGCACCAGCAAAGGCTAAAATATAATATAGAAATAAAAATTAATTTATCAACAGTCTTATCCTATAGTCTTATCCTATACAATGAAACAAAATGAAAAATATAAAATGACTAAAATTGGTAACAATATTGCATGCATGAATGTATGACTGTGTAGAGCATGAGATGGAGTGGCTTCATCATTAGCGGTTATAGTTTTACATCTGTGCGTGGAGTTTGTTGTTCATTGATCAACCTTCTGAGAAATCATCGATGTGTATCTTCAGTTGTTTGATGTTGTCCTCAAAATCCATCTGCAACTTTCGGGTCTCCAAATATTTCTCCATGTTTGATTTAACTGGCTTGCTTGTGAATCTTGAATGTTTTGTAATAAATTTAGTAAATTAATAATTTGCTGTAAATTTTTTTGCAAGATTAAATATTAAATAAATGTTTCTCTCAAAAAATTTGCCAAACGACTTGAAATGACGTTTAAATATTGTTTGAATGGAAAGTATTTACTTGCTGACAGACTTGTCTTCCAGATCGAGAGGTGAAAGATTGATAGGATTGTACTTGTGCAGTGATTCACCGATGATTCCAACTCTGTAATCATAAAACGATAAAAATGCATTTTAAACGTTTTTAACTGCGACAATTGAATAGTTATTGGATGCGTTTTAGCATGGCTGCGCTGGCGTTTGATGCTTTTAAAGAACATATCACGTTGCCAAGGAGGGTCTTTGGACAGTCAACACTAAAAAATCGAAGTACTCTACAAAAATTTGATAGCTACACCACTGAATGATATAAAAACGGATGGATCAAACTTGATGTCAGCGGGATTAAAGTTCTCCACTTCGTAAAAAAATCTTTCCAGATCATCTTCCTGGGACTCGCAAAACAACATAGACTGTGGGTACCTATGTCTGCGTGTGTATGTGTGTGTGTGCGTGTTTGTGTGAGTGGATACTTTATCTAACGGATACGACTAATACTATTTCCATTGATGAGTATTTCACTAAAATAAGATTTTCATCCGATAGAGCTAGTAGACTTTATAATAAAAATTAAAAAAAATGTAAATGAGCCGATGTCTACCCCCTCTCCATTCGCCGTTTACGAGATTCCACAGAAGTTGTTGGAAGTGAGGCCAATATTAGGCGAGATTTTTTTCTACATTGGGATTGGATAAAAAAAATTAATATCAATTCCCTTCAATAACTAACAATAATAATAATGGTATTTTTTAACATAATTTCAAAAATGAAAAAAAGAACAAGGTTATTTAGTTAAATAACTTTAAAAAAATGGATAAACATGCAACCAGGCAAGGATCAGCTAAACAAATAAGTGGATGTTACTATAACCAACGTTAATGTACCCTGCCATTTCATAGCGTGCCTGCATGTGTATATGTTTGTATGTGTGTGTGTATGTATGTATGTGTGTGTATGTATGTATGTGAGTATGTATGTGTGTGTAAGTGTGATTCATTCTTGCATGACTGTACGTTTGTATGTACGGTCTTATAAGTATAACAGCTCTCAAATGAATCAAACCGCAGATGGCGTCAGGTCCGGAACTAGGGGACAAGAGGGCTAGCCCCCCGGACGAAAATCTTAATTTATTTGTAATTTAAACAATAGCTTACGTTGATAATGACATTTATAATGATATTCTTTGAGTGAAGGATGGGCCGAAAGACTAAACTTCCACCCCCAGACAAATCCCCTAGTTCCGGCCCTAGATGGCACCATCATTTATTGCGCTGCTCACCCTACGACTCTATCCTGTAGCACTCCGGCAAGACTCTTCTTCGAAGGCGTCTCTATGGCAAAATATTGTAATATAAAAATTTATCGGTTGTAATCATATTTGTGATTAAGCGCGGTGACGATAATAATTGAAATAATAATATATTACTGTTACTACTACTGCTTCTACTACTACTATTTCTATCACTACTACTATTACTACTACAGAGAGAAAGAGCGAGAGAAAGAAAGAATGTCATTGACAGTTCGAAAATAGCACTATAAAAATTTTGATTTCATTCATTCATTCATTCTATCACTACTACTATTACTACTACAGAGAGAAAGAGCGAGAGAAAGAAAGAATGTCATTGACAGTTCGAAAATAGCACTATAAAAATTTTGATTGATTGATAGATAGATAGATTAAATGATATACCAACCTACTGTAAGATATAAATGATTCATTAAATATCAAGTTACGATAAGGCTCGTAAGCCTTAAGCAGATAATGATAACTATAGGCTGGTTTATTTTATCACTGAATAAATAAAATATTGAATTCATTTGTAATGATTAGAATCGCATAAGTATGGGAGATGTCGATAATGAAATTCACTTATATCTATAGGCATGAACTGAGGAGTTCTTGTTAATCTGACGGGATGGTGTTACACTCTTTCAATAAATTTCATTCATTCATTCATTCATTCATTCGTTCGTTCGTTCATTTGTTCATTCATTCATTCATTCATTCATTCATTCATTCATTCATTCATTCATTCATTCATTCATTCATTCATTCATTCAAACTTTCATTCACTCAATCATTTTATTCCATTTATTCATCCAAACATTCATTCACCAATTCATTTTATACCAAAAAATTCAACCATTTAATAAATTTCTAATTCCTCATACAATAATTTAACACGATAATAATTAACAATTCACAAAAAAACACAAAACAAGTAAATTGCAACACAGCCCAAAACACGCAACATATACATACATACATACATATACACCAGGTAAAACACACTATACCAACACTGAAAATAAACCATCCTAGTCTAAAAATATATTATAGAGTAGAATATCATAGTGACAAAATAATACACGAGACGTCTGGTCTTACTGTCGCAGTGATAGGGCTAAGACAGTTTGTGTCATGGCTGTCATGTGTCGTTGTCGAAACAGCAGAGAAATATTTACCTGTTGATTTCAGATCTGATCAGGTCAAAATCCTTTCTTCCCATACCGACCCACACAAAGACTGCAGCAAACTTGAACAACGTCTGCAATTTGCGATTTAATTTCATCCCACTGAATATAAAAACTTCAATTGTATAATTGACCAAACTAATTTGCATTAGAAATTGGAATATTTGAAAAAATGATTTCACATATAGTTTACATAATAGTAATGTACTAACAAAAACGAACACGTAAATACGGTGATGCAGATAAATGAGAATGAAGTTGGATAAATTAACATAAATTAACATAAATTAGAATAATAATTCAACGAACTTCATACAAGACCCTGTCCTCGTGAGAGTCTGAACTTTTTGACCTGACAAACAAACATCATCAAAGACATTATCATCGTCATTGTTATTACCACAACACAGCACAACAACAACAGCAAAAACAACAACAACCACAGCAACAACCACAACAACAACATTATCACAATCTTTTTTGGCAAAAATCACAACAACAACAATAACAACAACAATAACAACAACAGAAAAACAGCCAACAACCTACTTTCCACATTGAATATGATGTGTCTTGCATTGACCGAGTCCCAGCAGAATGTTGATGTAGGCATGTGCCAGTAGCTTCCTGTTCATACGGACCTCCTCACAGGCCAGTGAATACTTCTTTTTCTCTTTGGCACTCTTTGCACTTTTTAAATTAATTTTTTTAAATATTAATGCTGTACATTTAATTTTAAAATATATATATATATATAAAAATTTAATTTTAAAACTTTAAAATTTAATCTAAATCTCTCTCTCTCTCTCTCTCTCTCTCTCTAAATATATAAATTAATATATATATATAATATATATATATATATATTAATTTAGTTACATCATATGCACTTTTATTGTTGTTTATAATGTCAAGTTGTTTATAATGCACTTTCAAGTAATTTTTTTTAAAGTTTAAACTTTTACTTTAAAATTTATATATTTTAAACTTTAAAATTTATTTAAAAAAACATCATACGCACTTTCATGTAACAGTATAACAACAAAGAGAACAGTAAAAAAATAACAAAAATAATAATAATCAGCAAAAGTGAACTTACATATGAAAATCAGCATCCTTGTTCTTCAGCTCCTTCTTCTCCATGAACCATTGAAAATAAATTATCAGACGAGCTAAAAACACGTCCATTTTTTGAGACCTATTGTTATGGTTGTTGTTATTGTTACACTTACCGCTGTTATTATTGCTATTATTATTTATATAGCGCCAATTTATAATCCAAATTAAAAAAGAAATTAAAATTGGATAAAGTGAGTAGTGGTTAAGATGTCGGGTTCTGATGCTTCAAAGGCGTGGTTTTATTGCAAAAAGGAACCCGACCTATCACATGATGTGCGTGATTTATAGATTTACGGATTTACGTTTTATGTTTGTGTATGTGTGTGTGTGTGTGTGTATGTGTGTACGTATGTATGTGTGTGTGTTGTTTGAGTGAGTGTTGTGTGTATATGTGTTGTTTATACGCGTCTGGGTACGTGTGTGTGCCTGTTGTTTGCGGTCGCTTTGAGAAATAAACAAGAGGAAATTGATCGTGGTTGTATAAGAACGTTCTATAAACTGAAAACTGAAAAAGCCAGCCTACTTGAAGAGGATCTTGAAACTTTTACACGTTTCAATGCCTTCTGATATTCTATAAAAAGAGACAGCTGTGTGAAAATGAAGAAAGTTTTTTCTGTATTTGAATTCATTTTTAATCATTGTCTACAATTTTTAATCATTGTCACGTCACCGGAGTTACAATAAGAATGGGCAGATAATGAAAGATTTTCCAGTGGCATAATGATGTGAATAACGAATAATTATGCGAAAGCAAGGATGATGTAGACATGATGGTGAAAAATGATGAGGTAAAAATTGAAATGACGTAATGAATAAAGATACGCCCGGTCCCGTGTTGCACTTGGGGTATTGATTAGTGAGAAAAATAAAATTAAAACGGGATTTTCAGAAAATGTAAATTTTGGAGTCTTAACCTTTCACATGCTCCAGCGTAACAACGCTCCTTCTTGATGAATCTGCCAGAGACTTGAGACCAAGAGTACTTCTTTGATATCTTACAATTAGTTAATTATCATTTGGTGGATTAATTAATTAATTAATTATCATACTATACAGTCTTTGGATACTTTTTCATTTCCCTTGTAAAACATATGTTAAACGATAACATTTGAAAAATCAATTTAAATAAAACTTATAATTCTTAATTAAAAAATGAAATTATTTATCAGTAAGAATGATGATTAGTGAAAGTAGTGATGTACCCGGTTCCAGCCGAAGCTCTGCTATCAGTTTGTTCTTTTTTCTTCAGCAGTCCAGGAGCAAGTTTTAATGGCTGGCTTGCTACAGAATTAGGATTTCCTCTGGATATAAATTTAATTTGTAAAAAAAAAATGAAAATTTATTTTTTCTTTTTGATAAAATAAAATCAAACTGATTAAAAACTTCAGGGAAATTCATAATTTTATATTACTCAATGGTGCCGTCGTGTTAATTTAAAATTAGAGATCAAAAAGGAAACTGAAATATATTTAACAAATGAACAAATACTAAAAACTAATTAATTATGTATTCAAAATTTACATTTTAAATAGATTTTTTTAAATTTAAAATGTCAGTCGGTGAAAATAGAAAAAGTTGTAAAAAATGAAAAAAAAAACTACTCAATGAATTCCAGAGTCTTGAAAGTGTTATCCCATACCCACTTTCCACTGTTTCTCAAAACAATTCTATTGTCAATCTACAAATTTCAGAAAGAATTTTTTTTAAATTTCAACTTTAAAATAGAATTTAAGCGACCTAAATGTGTTTTAAATACCAGTTATTAAATGAAATTGTTTTAAACATTAAAATGTGCTATTGATTTTCCAACAGATAAAATAAGACAAGTGTAATTTTATATTAGAATTCATTTTTTCACTAAATAAAATTTGAATTTTATTGCTGGTCCCCAACTTGTGATTGTAATGAATATGATGAAAAGTGGAGCTTGTTCATTTTATTTGTTTATTTATAAACAAATAGATAAATTTAAAAATAATAGTTATTAAATATTAAAAGTTAAATATTATAAAAACTTAGTTTTTATTGATTGTAAGTAAGTAAAACAATTAATTAGTTTCAAATAATAAACAATCAGCCGATTATGATTAATTAATCAATTAAATAAATAATTAATACAAATTATTTAATGATTTAGAAATTAAGAATTTTGAATTTTAGAATAATGATTATTTAGAAATTAATTTAATAATAAAATTACGTCATCAAGGTAATTCCCACCGATGGCTAAAGACAACTTTTGTGAGAAACCTCCAAGAGTAGTGAACCTATTCATTACGAATTCAAATTGAAAAAATTGAATAAAATCTAATAAATTAATAATTAAATAATTAAAATTTCATTCCATTTATAAAATAAATTATAAAACACGCAAAGTTTTTTGTTCGAGACGATGACGCGATAAAACGTTGCTATGGTTGTTATGGTGATTTTAAAAGTTAACTTGAATAATAAGGTGTGAATTAGTACACGATGAATTTTGAAGCATTTTTGATAAATTCAAGAAAACCTTTAATACAAAAACAAAGCATCATGGTAATGTATTATATAAAGTATAATTATATGCATGTTTTTGTCGATTTGATCTGACCGCTTTGTTTTTTATCATAAGCAAAATTTACTAGAAGAAAAGTCAGCTTTCACGTCACGCACCATTATAATTTTTGAAAAAACTTCGAAAATTCAACATTATGACGCAAACGCTTTTGGTCAAAGTTTAGCTCATGTACAATTCATTGCAAAAGGAATTTTTTTAATAAATTTGCAACTAGCTTTTTAATGATTATGTTACCATAATTCCATGCTCTGGTCATCCCTTATAACAACAACGTGTTTGATTGGAGTACCTATGCGTTTGTGTCTTTATATTCTATTTCAAACTCCGCAATGAAATTTCTCCTTTTTATACAACTTACTGGAAGCAATGACAGAGTTGATGTCACGCAAAGCGACCATACATACTGATATCGACTGGTGAATCTGATTATATAATGATTTTTTCATTTCAAGTCGATGGTGAGTTTAAGTGTCATAGTTCATTTTCTGCTCTAAAATTCCACGGTTTTTAATTGTTCGCATTTATAAAACCTTTACTGGATTTATTCACGAGTAAAGAGTTCATTCAATGCTTCAACAAAATTTATTTAGATTTCAATCTATAAAACCAGATACTGTTAACTACACGACAAATGGACATTTATAATTTCATTGAATTTACGTACTTTGAATTTGAATAAACAAAAATCATAAAAATTAATGTCATTGATAAATAAAATAATCGAAGAACGCAGCAACGAACACTTCACAGCAATCTAAATTATGAACTCTTCTCAATACAGCCACGTACCTGCTGGCTAAGAAGATACATGCAGTGTACAAACACTCAAGTGTCTCGTAGCGAATCAGCTTAACTCTACAAACATGTTTCTGCACGTAATGTTAATAAATAATGGTTATTTTAAAATTTTGATTAAATATTTTATTTCAATGTTCATAATTTTGAATAGCAAGCTGGGATTTCTAGAGAACCATATTTCAATTGGCGGTAAGGTGGTACAATAGTAAGTGGCTCGGTCCTCTTTTGAAGCAACCAGGTTAGAATACAAAAGAGGTTTCTGTTTGTTACATTAATCTGACATAAGAAATTTGAAGTTAAATCAAAAACCTCAAAAAACTACGTGATATCAACATTTTTTATCAACAAATTGATGAAAATTTTGTTTTAAAATTTTTTTCCAATTCATATGTTAAACAGTTTAAACCAATGAACGTTCTAAATTTATGGAATGTTTGCCTATCATAAAATCATTAATCATCCTCTGCTATCTCTATTCTATTAGACTGAGCAATCACTCATCGAACGGAAAATATAATTTATTGTCACTTCAAATTTCATAACTAACTAACTAACTAACTAACTAACTAACTACTCTGAGCTGTCATCATATGATAATTTTTTTATTTTTTTATCAACATCATGATATAACATTTTGTATGGTTATATAAATCAAATCCTGCATCTTACACACACACACACACACACACACACACCACACACACACACACACACAGTCCCATGTACATATATATATATATATATATTTATAAGTAGAAATATAAAATTGACAAGATTAACTCAAGTGTTTCGTTTTAAATAATTTAACTCTTACTATAACTCCATCAAGTAGACGATTGGAATTTATTGCATTGTTCGTGTAATCAGACTGATTAGATATAGCATATTTAGGACAGATAGCATATCTCTTACTGAGATAACGTATTTAATATAAGTCTGATAAACTAGACGGACAGGCAGACAGATTAGGGTTTTGAAATTTTTTTTAAATTCAAAAGTTTTTTCATTTGTTTCTATAATAATTATCTTTCATGTTTTTTGTAATAAACGGTTTTCAAAGAATGGTTACTTTTGGTTAGTGAATTTTTTTTTTGAGGTTTTAACATTTTTATTATTCTATCCAAAATAATTTAAGTGACATTTGACAGTATGTAGGTACATAGATACACATTTTATAATTCTTAGCCACGTTATTTTTAAATGTTCGTTAATTATAATGTTAGCTCATTTAAGTCCAATTATTGACCAAATAAGACTGAATAGGGTACTATCGAATAAAGTTTTGTTTGAAGTTTGTATAAACGATTTGTATATTTACGTTTGTATAAACGATTTGTATATACACGTTTGTATAATTGATTTGTATATATACAATTGTAAAAAACATAATTTTACAGAAATATGTATACCGTAAATTGCATTGTGTCGTAAAGAATTACAGGACTGCCAACTCGAAAATAGGTGCACGAAAGTTAGAAAATGAGGTCGAGGCATGAAGTTTCGTTACCCCCCGAGTAACAATTTCCCTTCATTATTTGCCAGATCTTCCTTTTCTGACTTCTGTGTTTCCTTCTAACCTCATCAATTTTTAATTTTTCGACAATGACCCGATCCAACAGGTAGACAATTTCTACCTGGATTGGCATTTGAAAAAGAGTATTCGTATGTGATAGTTTATAGAATTTTTGGAGCTTTTTGAATATTTTACAAAAAT